CCCAATATATTGACACAATATACAAACTATATTACATAATCGAGAGAGAGAGAGAACTACCTTGATATATTAAACAACTTTTTGTACAATTGCTCTTTGAATGCGTGTCTATTGAGAAAAATCAATGGACACGAGAAGTGAAATATTTTGATCCCTTTCATGACCAGAGCGTCCGCATAGTGTTTAACGTTAACGTATAGCTCAGTGTTGGACAGCCGACCCATCACTCCACTCGACGGCCTGTCAAAGTGACCGATTTATAAATATAAATTTATAACACGCCGAATTGATAAATAAAAATATGTACCTTGATAACCTAATCATAATGACAAGCATATTAAACATGATGGCTATAAGTAAACCCATATCAACATCGCATATGATTACCGACACAAACGTTATAATCCATGTTATCTACGGATTGGGATTTAAATGAAGATTACGTTAATATTTTTACTATAAATTATATAAATTACAACAAAATAAATTGCAGTCTCTATGAATGCAAAGGAAGTGAAGTGTTGTAAAACAATAAATGTAAATCTACCGGTAACTACTAAATAATAAATAAAATTGCTATAAAATCCCACATTGAGCATTATGTTTAAAATAAATAAGTGAAAAATATGAGACAGATATAATCATGGAAAAAAGGTTGGTCAGTACCCCCTCCATCACCGAGTATTTAAACACTTTGCGCACGTATACAGTCTGGACAAACATGGACTTTAGGGCCATCAATATAATCGCCGACAAAACGCACTGCAAAAATACACACCAAATAACTATAAATATTTTTTCTTAAAAAACACAAAAAATAGCACAAACTTTAGGCAAATGATATATCAATGGTTCCATATATAGTATGACAAACAGTAGTATTACGGCGGCGAATAGGGTGGCCATCTGGGTCTTGGCGCCCGACCGGTGCAGGACTGACGATCTGGTTAGGGATGAGCTGCTCGGGTAGCAGCTGAAGAACGAGCCAAACACGTTGGCCACAGACATTGCCAACAGTTCCTGATTCGGGTTGATTT